TGAGACCCATACAGAATAGAAACCTAAGTGAAAGAATCAGGGATGGCTACAGACATGAATCCTGCTGTCCTGGGCCTTCCTCTCACACTCCTTCATCCCCCTTGATCTGCCTCCTGCCATGCCATTTCAGGGCAACAAGGCCTCTAGGTGCATATTAGTTAACCAAACATATTGAGGGCCTACAAGGGACTGGCAGCACCCCAATGTGGAGAGATGGCTGGATGTGAAATGGAAGGACCTGGCTTGTTAATTGGGCCACTTCAGGCACAAAGTCATTGACCCTCACTTTCATCTTATGGAAACCAAGGTGGTTGGACAAGATTGTCCTTAAGATCCCCTCCACCTCCAGCATTTTCTATGCAAGACTCTATCCCAAGGCAAAAGCCAGAAGTCCTGGAGTAAGGGGCACTGGCCACTTGATCATTCTGAAGTTACAGCAGGACTTGTTTATGTAGTACTTGCACAAGATCCTTAAGTCAGGTAGTTCTGGGCCAAGCTTCAGACTCCAGCCTCCTGAGGCTGTGGCCAATGCTTTTCTCATCAGGTCATGGAGAACCTACTGTATACAAGGCATTATGGATACTAGACAGGGTCCTTGGCCTCAGGAGTTTATAATCTAGTAGCATGGCCTGGCTTGGCAAATACATTTCTCTCTGGCTTAGGGCCCAGTGGGTTCTTGTTCATTGCTAGGCTGAGCTTATAAGGTCAGCAAGACTAATATAAAACAGAGATTGGGGTAGGGGTTTGTGTGGAGAAGACCAAGGAGACTGGGGATGGGGTGGCAGGAGGAATGAAGGACCAGGACAAGTTAGATTTTCTTTGCAGTGTAACCATGAGAGTAGCTGGGCTTTGAAGAACCTAGCACAGGAGAGAAAGAGCTCTTTCAATTAAAAACGCCTAAAGTTCTTTAAGGGGAAGTTAGGGATGAAAGTGATTGGAGTTGCTTCTCCTCACCTGACAGAAAAGCCTCAAATTCGGCTCAAGTGGTCACATCAGAAAAAGGCAGCAAAAAGCAGGGATAGCCAGCACATTGAACAACAGTCAAGATCCCCAAAGATCTCAATGAACTAAAATGATGGGCCAAACCTAAGAAGATGAAATTTTTTAAGTCCTACACTTGGGTTCAAAAGATAGTTGCACAAGTATTGGATCTGGGAGTGGTCCAATGTCATCAGACACCAATTGCTGTGAAAAATGTGGAGGAAGAGGGGCCCAGAAAGCTCAGGGTGAATTGACAGTGGGGCATGGCAACCCAAAAAGTTAATGTAATCTTTGAATCAATAGAGAAAAAGTGTCCAGCAGTAGATGATAGTCAATTAGTCAACATTTAGTAAGCACCTTCCATACATTAAGTTCTGGGCTAAGCCCTGGGGATACACAAAAAAGCAGAAGACAATCTCTGCCCTCAAGGAGCTTACAATCTAATGGGAGAGACAACATGCAAACAAATATATACAAACAAGCTATATACAGGATAAATAGGAAATAATTAACAGAGGGAAGGCACTGGAATTAAGAGAGCTTGGGGAATGCTTCCAGTAAAAGATGGGATTTTACCCGGGAGGGAAAGGAAGCCAAGGAAGGGAGCAGGTAGACTTGAGGCCAAAAAGTGTCACTGGATGGAAGAGCACGTGGTGGGGTGTAAGTGTAAGAAGGCTGGAAAAGTACGTGAAGGTTAGGTCTTAAAGGGCTGTAAATGTCAAACAGTATTTTATTTTTGATCCTGGAGGCAACAAGGAATCACTGGAGCTTATTGAATAAGGGAGTCACATGGGTAGACCTGAACTTTAGGAAAATTCCTTTGGGGGTTGAATGTAGGATGGGTTGGAGTGGGGAGAGACTTGAGGCAGGCAGACTCACCAGCAGGCTATTGTAATAATCCAGGTGTGAGGTGATGAGGGTCTGCACCAGGGTAGGGGCAATGTCAGAGGAGAGAAGGGGAAATATTGCGATGGTAAAATCAGCGGCCCTTTGAGGCAGCTAGGTGGCGCAGTGGCTAGAGCTCTGGCCTTGGAGTCAGGAGGACCTGAGTTCAAATACGGCCTCAGACACTTGACACTTACTAGCTGTGTGACCCTGGGCAAGTCACTTAACCCCAATTGCCTTGCCAAAAAAAAAAAAAAAAATCAGCAGCCCTTGGCAACAGCTTGGATCTAGGGAGAAAGAGATAGTGAAGAATCCAGGATGACACCATTAGGATGGTATTGCGCTTGACAGTAACATGGAAGGCGGGAGGTGGGGAGGATTTAGGTGGAATCTTGATGAGTTCTGCTTTAAATATACTTGGTTTAAGATATCTACTGGACATCCAATTTGAGATGTTTGAAAGTCAACTGGAGATGCAAGATTGGAGGTCAGAAGAGAGGTTGGGATAGGACAGGTAGATTTGAGAATCATCAGCATAGAGATGATAATTAAATCCATGAGAGCTGATGAGGTCACCAAGTGAAGAAGTACAGAGGGAGAAGAGAAAACGGCCCAGGACAGAACCCAGGGGGACACCTAGGGTTAGAGAGCATGATCTGGAGGATCCAGCAAAGGAGACAGGGAAGGAGCAGCCAGGTAGGAGAACCAGGAGAAGAATATCAAGGAGGTGTGTGGTCAAGTATCAAGTGTCAAAGGCTGCAGCGCTCAAGGAGAATGCAGAGAGAGAAAAGGCCGTTGTCTCCCTGTCCGCTGCCTGGGTCACACCAGCCTAGTGGGCACCATATCTTAGGAGGTATGCTGGCAAGCCACCTTGTGGCCATCAGGATGGTGACTGGCCTCCCGAGGCTATGAGTATTGGCTAAAGAGAGCAGGGGAGGTTAGCATGGAGGAAAGATGTAGGGAGGGAGGACAAGACCACTTTAAGTATGTGGTGGGCCTTGACATAAGAAGAGGACAGAACCAAGAGGAAGGGGTGAACGGGGCAGAAAGGCAGGTTTGAGGGTTTGATGTGAGCAGATTGCCGCACATTACAAATGAGGAATTACAAAGAAACAGTGTGAAAGATGTCAGCCTAGAAGTGTTTGATCAGAAGAAAGATGGACCAGGCATGTACAATCAGCAGACGGCCAAGTGCTTCTGCAATGCCCACACAATATCATAATCTCCAACCAGGAGAGAGATTGTCCTCTTATGGCTGATTCCCAAGAAGAGTGGACAAGAGTCCCACAGGATGGCTGTGCCTGGCATCACAGGAGGGAGGACCCACTTTTATGATACCATGTACCCATTAGGAGAAAATAGCTGCTTCTAATCAGACTTGTCCCTATGTGTCCCTGTGGAGGCCTTCAAGCAAGGCCAAAGGAACCTGTAGGCAGGAGTCCAAAAGAGGTAATTCCTTTTCAAGTAGGGCCTGCTCAAGATGATCTGTGAGTTTCCTGCCAACACTGGGGTTCTATGGTCACTCTAGCTCCTCTGCCCCCACCAGTCCATGGAGAAGTGCTCCTAAGAGAGGGGCAGAAGGCTGTGACCATGTCCAAGGTGAGAAGGGACCAGCCCAGCCCCATCATTACCTCAGAGCCTGGGGACTAGACACACATGGCCTAAGGAGCCCTGCACTGAGGGCTGGACTGGCCTGGCTTTCCTTTCAGCTCACACTGCCGTTTGCCAGGAAATACAGCCGCTGTGTGGACCTGCTCATCAAGAAAGGTTTGTCCAGGTCTGTCTCCTACTCAGTCCTGGGGAAGTACCTGCAGGAGTGTTAGGGAAGAAGCCACCCACACCTGGAGCTCATGTAAACTGTATGGACATAGGTCTTTGTGCATGAGTGTGCACATCTGTGTGTGTGTGCACGCGCATGAACCTGTGTGTGCTGTGTGCATATGTGTGTGAACCAGAGCCTGTCCTTTTATAAACAAATAAAGTTCTAAACCAGAACAAAGTGGTAAGCTTCCCTCTCCAAGAAATCAAAGGCTAGATTACATCCAAATAGATATAAACCTTTATTAGAAACAATTCAAAAAAGCCATCAGGTCAACATTATAGTATGAATCCAGAGAAGAATGCTAGGATGGGATCCTAGTGAGCTCAGGACTAGAAGGGAGGGACCTGGCTAGTATGGTGGGGAATCTACAGCAGGCCTGGGGTGGTATAGGCAGAAGACAATGTCAGCTGCGTGCTAGACCCACCACTCCCCGCCAAAGGGCTGCAAACCTACTTGTCCACCCCACCATCTCCCCAAATTCACAGAGTTAGCCAGCTTATTCTTTCCCTCGTGGAGAATAAAGAGAAATGCTGTGAGATTCCAAAAGGGGACCCAAGGATACAGAAAATGGCAGGTCAGCCACAGCAAGGCCTTATGGGTCTTTGTCCCTGAGATTGGAGGAGACTTTGAGGCTAAGGAGCTGGGCCAGTGCTAGAATGCTGATGGGACTTGAGCCAAAAGAGGAAACAGATCCTGGGAAATCCCCTTTCTCCAAGTCCCAGGGGGCTGACCACCATCTTTGCCACTGAGTCTGCTGTAGGTGACGCTGTTCTATGCCCAATAACACCCTCCACCTCATCACCTACTCCTATACCCAGGCATCTCCAAATTCTCTGTCACCCTGGCTAAAATAAAATATGAAACACAACACCTTCCCCTGTAGTCTAATTGTAACTTAAAGCTGGGCCTGGCTGGCTCTAATTGCCCCTCAGAATCTCCGCATAGATGGCTAGGAGAGGGGGAGTCCTTCACACTACATGGCCATTTTTGGCCACCCTAGGACAGGCCCTTTGTCAAAATCAGCCATGGGCATTAAGCATCTGTCTGCTCCTCCTTTTTCCTCCTTAGCAGGAGCTGAGGAAGTGGCTACCCAGACATTCAAAATGGTTAAGATATCAGAATTTGTGGCTAACAGAGCTGCCTGTTCAGGATGTAAGGCATCAACTTAGGTAACTGAAGCAACTAAAAAAGGGAACATAAACTCATGCCTTGGGCCTTGCCCTGACCAACAACAGGATAATGGGCCAGGGTGGGGCATCCCTAAAGCCTAGGCCTCCCAGCTGAGGGGAAGAACAGATGCGGAGAAAAGGCTTCACTCCTCCTGGCCAGCATCCATCACATTTGCCAAAGCAGAGTTCAGACCTGTGGAAGCCCAAGAGATATCATGCCCAGGTTCCCCCAACTCCCCAGCCAGAGTGTCTAATCATCTTGTCAAGCATTAAAGCCCTGGCCCTACCCAGGAAAGCAAATGATGACCAACCCACATAGGTGAACTAAATGGTGTATTTCAACACCTCAAGGGAGAGGTGAAGGGAACAGACAAGGACTTGAGCATCCCAGGATACTTACTGAGGTTATGAATTGACTCTGGTCACAGTGGGGTTTGTCTTCCAGGGCTGGTAAGGGCTGGTCTTCACAGCCACTGGCCAGGGTCAGACCAGGTACACAGCCACTATCTGAACCACTTGAACTAGCTGATGGACACTGGGATGAGGCCTCGGAGCTCTCAGGAGCTGACGGAGCCAGAGTGAGGAGACAGTGATTGAAGGGGCAGCCCCACCCTCAGCCACCCTCCTTCAGTATACATACTCAGTTCCTCTACCTCAGCACCCAGACTGCCCCACTAGGTCCCTTATGTCTCTAGCCCTTTAGGCAGACATACTCAATGAAGGTTGGCTTCCTGTTTCAGTCTCTGGATCTAGCTCCTCCAGGTAAGGGGTAGGCTGCAAAGGCCAACAGAGTCCCAGTCGAGCTGGGTCTCCACACAGGTCCAGGTTAAGGGGCCCCAGCAAGGAACAGGAAGAGGGGCCAGCGGGAAGCGAAGCTGGAGATCCAGAATAGGGGTCGGTGTGGTCAAACAGAGACACCGCAATGGAGGCCCGAGTCCGAGCTCCTGTCCCAGACAGAAACCTTGAGATCAGCCTTGTTAGGGGATAGGAGTCTGACTTCAGGACATAACAGCCACCCCGTCCACTTGCCCACATATACTGTGGCCTCTTGTCCTCACTTCTGGTTGCTTTCCCCATCCATCCGCCTCTCCTCCCCAATAAGGACCCCTGACTATAGTCTCCCAAAGCCCTCCTAACCCCCTCCAGCACCTCGACCCTTCATGATATAGTTGATGGCACGGTCATGGATGGCTGCTTCACTGGGCGTGATGTCCAGGAAGGGTTTGTTCCCTACACCCATGGATACCATCTCAGCCATTCGGAGCTCTGGGGGGAGAAGGCCTGGAGTAACCAAAGGTGTCCACACACACAAAGACACACATACACACCCCACCTCTTCCCACTGCCCTCCCCAAATTTCAGAATCATAGTCCCTGTGGATACTCAAGAAATTCTTCATCTTGCATTTGGACTGCTGGAAGTCTCCTAATTGATTTCCTATCAAAGAATGTCAAGGCTGGAAAGGGTCATTGATTAAGAGCTACAAGGCACTTCAGAGTCCAGCTCAACCCCCTGATTTTCACAGCCCTGTAGGGCCCTCTAGGCCTGGGGCACCCATCACTGGGGGCAGATACCCTTATTGCGGGCAGCTTGTCTCCAAAGCAGGCTGGCGATGTCAGCAGTCCAGGCCTGCTTATTTTCAGGACTCAGGGCCTGCAGCACAAATGTGTCACTGGCTTTGCGGCGTCGGAACCAGATCTCAAAGCACAGCCCACTCTCTCCGCAGTTCTCTGTGAGACCGATGTCTGCTGTCTGCCCAGTGAGAAATGAGTGGATACAAAGTTCAAGAAAGGTGTGCTGGGGGACAAAGGTGAAGAGCTGAGAGCCGGGGCAGACCCAGCAGGCAGACCTAAGGTTAGCAGGCAGAACCAAGATTAGAAGGCAGGACTGAAGTCAGGGATGGGCTCAGAGTTAAACCTGGGGTCAGAAGTCAGGTCTGGGCTATGATACCACAGTCAGAGTCTAAGCTGGTCTGAGAGGCAAGAGCCCAAGTCAAAGGAGAGGCAGGGCCTCCCTGGAGGAGAGGGGTCCTACCTTAAAGGAGTGCTTGTAGATGAAGGAGTCAACCCCCCTGGGCCCATGTCGAGATTTGCTGAAGAGAATGAGCTCCTCAAACAGGAAGATGTGGCGCCGGCACCTCTTACGCCCAGACCACACCGTAAACTGATCCTGACGAACTAGCTGGCCCTGCTCCTTGAGGTTCACCTGGCAGAGATTTCTGTAGTTTAGCAGGGAGGATCCGGCAGGCGCCATCCCAGAACTTTCAGACTCCCCGTGCCCAAAGGACCAGCCCTGAGCCAGGAGCCTCCCCATGGCAGGCACCTCCAGGGGCCGCGAGCCTGCCCAGGCCACCCAGGTGCCTGCTCAGGGCTGCCAGGCGCTGTATTCCGGTACAGGGCCTCCCCAGGCCATGCCTGGTGCACACTCACATCACAACCACGGATGGCATCCATAGCCAGCAGGTCGTTGCCGTGCCGCAGCTGGAACCGAACAAGGTCGCAGGCAGCGTGCAGGGCAGCCAGATCTGGCCCTCGGGACCAGCTCGGCCCTGGCCCTTCTTTGCAGGTCCGCGACAGTTCTTGCAGCAGCAGCACATACTTGCTCATCCGCTGAATGGGCTTCAGCAGGTAGGAAGCCAAGTCCAGGTGGTCCCCTAGACAACGCTGTTTGTCCTGGGGACAAGCCGGGGGGCAGAGAGGAAAAGGGAAGATGGGCCTCCTCTGCCTAAGGCCTGAGCTATATCTACATCTCCTAGAAGTTACAACCGGAAGGGACCTCAGGGATTCTAGCCCAACCCCCTCATCTACAGATGGGAAAACCAAGGCCCAGGGAGGAGGCATCACTTGTCCAGGTCACACACGTAGTGAGAGGCAGAGACAAGACTCACGCTGCACAGCCGAGGCTCTTTCCATCACACTCTGCTTCCTTCCTCGGCTCAAACACACCCAGCCCCGTCCTGCCCCTTTGCCGAGGCTAAGCTTTACTTCTCACTTTGGAGTTTGGGAGAGGGTTAAGGCTGGAAAAGGTCTTCGAGACATCTATTTCAATCCCTTTCTTTAAAGGTTAGGAAACTGAGGCCTACGAGAAGTAGCCCAACCAGCATGGCAAGGAGCAGGGCTGCCTGTCCACAGTAGGAGAGCCAGGACAAGGACATTCATCTGCCTCAGGCACTTAATATATGTCTGTGACTGACTGGACCGACCTTAAAGAAGGCATTCCCATGGCTGGCCAGCAAAGCATCCGATCTGGGCTTGTTCTTGCTGTAGAGGGCATACATCCCGAACTGCTCCCTCTGTGGAAACATAAGGCTCAGCCCTGGCTGGCAGTGCCCTAGCCCTCAGGCCAGCCTCACCTTCTGCTGCCCACACAGTTCAGATCAGCTGAGGAAACCTTCCCGGGTGAGCCCACGTACCACTCACTCCGAAGGCCCTTCAGGGAGTGTTCATGTGTGTACAGGTCTTATTTAAACCCACATCGAGCAAAAGGCCCAAGCTCCAAACTCAGTTAAACATGGAATGGGCTAACCGCCTTACCCAAGGGCCCCACCAGAGCCAGCTCCCAGGAATCCTACGGCAGGATTCCAATGACAAAGCTGTGACCAGGAACGGCTCATCACAAAGAAAGGAGAGGCATGTCCGTTCACCCGTGTCTGGCCTGGAGGTTGGGTAACTGTGTCTAGGCTGGGTGATGCGCTCCCTGGAGCGGCGGACGGGCAGCTGCTGAGGGCAGCGGGGCAGGGGGGCAGAAGGCAAGAGAGCCTTGCCGGGCCCTTACGTGACGTAGGAAAGCGTGGGCCACTCGAAGAGGGTGCTGGCTACAGCTCTCCAGCTCCCGCAGGAAGAAGTGACGGTGGAAGTCCCTGAGTTTCTCCAGGTTGCCAAAGAGCCGGGCTCGCTGTCCTCGCAGGCCCTGGGGCACATCTGCCCGTTCCAGCTCAGGGAAGTAGCTTTCCACCACGTAATCTAGGGCCCGCACGTACTCCCTCTCTGTCGCCACCATCTCTCCTAGTATCAAGTGCAGCCTGCCCAGTGGGCAGAGGTCAGGGCCGGTCCCACAGGCACCCTGTGTGCCCCTCCACTTTAGGGTCTCTCTCTGACCAGCAGGGCTCACCCCCACCTGCGCCTCGCTTGGTACCACCTACATTTTTATAGGGCCTCATATTTATCTGAGCCCAGTAACAATCCTGTCAGTTAGGGGAGTATAAGATTTATTCTCCCACACTTACGGACAAAGGAAACTGAGGCTCAGAGTGGTCACACAGCTTCTAAGTCCTGGAGGTTGGACTGGAATATGAGTCATCCCTCCCAGTGCCTATTCTACTCTCTAGGACCAGCCACCCCAAGATTTTTGCCTACCTGTAAACTCCGTTTTACCTGTTCTGGGTACTGGCCTCCAGAAGGGGAATGCTGGGCGATGCTTTCAGGGCCCCCAGGGGCTTCTGGATGGAAGACCCTGCTTGCTGGCTGCCAAGAGCCTCCAAGAAGCTGCCTGAGGGGCTGTGGGGGGTGACCGAGGCCGAGGCTGGGGGCTCCCCCAGGCTGAGCTGATACACAGAACCCCACAGGCTCTGTTTTACCCCTGCCTCCAAGGTGTGCGCCCTCCTTAGGGTGTGGGAAGTGGCAGACCCCGAGGAACTGCTGCTTCTAGCTCTCTCTTCAATCTTCCCGCCAGAGGCCAGGGAGGCCTTGTCTGAAGAGCTGCTGCCGCCACCACCTCGCGGGCACCGCTGGCCCTTAGCAAGGGCAGGCAGCGCCTTCTGTGCCCTGCGTGCGGCCTCCAGCTTCCTATGGAATGCCAGCTGGGTGTCTTGGCACCAGACGCCCAGGAGGCGACACTGCTGGATGTTGAGATCGGAGCCCAGGCCCGCGGCCAGCGCCTCCATCTCCTGAAAGTGTGATGGGGCCAGGTCTGGGTGCGAGGCTCGGTGCCCCTCCAAGTGGCACAGAACCACCTCTGGGGATGTGTGTTCCTCCTCGGCGAGCTTGGCCAGGGTCTTCTGTCCAGCCTGTGCCCACACCAGGGCCTGTAATGGCAGGGGACAAAAATCAGCTTCCTTTGCGAAGGAAACTCACTTCCCCAGACCCAGACCGGGTTCTTTCAGGAGGGGATCGAGGAGGGTTCTATTTTTAGAGGAGAATTGGAGGAAGGAAGGATCCTGGCTCTTCTTAGACTAAAGTTTCCCTATCTGCAGTGGGCATGGGCCCTTTCCCTGCCTGCTCCAGGAGAGAGGCAAGTGTCGGGCACCAGCTGCCTCCATACTCACAGACCAGCAGAGCTGAGAGACACCCCAGGAGAGGTGTCTCGCCCAAAGTCACCAAGCTGGGAAGTGACAGGGCAGCCTTGAACCCAGAGCTCCTAGCTAGGTCTATATGCTTCCTTTCATACAACAGACCTGGATTCAAATCTTGACCCTACTATGAAATGTGTGACCGTGGACAAGTCACTTCCTTTTTCTGGGCCAGTTTCCTCATTTATAAAATAAGGAGGTTAGATTAGAATCTAGACTAGAGGATATTTCTTTTAACTCTAAAATCTTGGGATCCTATGACATTTCAACTTAATCTCTTCACCCCAAAATAATAGAACTTCAAGTTTTGCAAAGCACTGTCTATCTACCCACATGCACGTGCACATACGGGATAAATGATCCCATTTGATCCTCACAACCCTGAGAGGCAGGTGCTAATATTGTCCCCATTTTGCAAATGAGGAAACTGAAGGAAACAGAGGTTAAGTGACCTGCCCAGGGTCACATCATGCTTGAAGACAAGATTTGAACTCGAGTCTTCCTGACTCCAAGTCTCACACTCTATCTACTAGGGCACTTAACTTTCTTTCTATGCCTGGCCCTGCCTTCCCCGACCCGACAAGTACGGACAAACCCCAGTACCAAAGGCTCGGTTTGAGCTGGGCCTTGAAGAGTGCCAGGGGAGGGAGGAAATAGACCCCTCCATCTCAGGCTTGGGCAGGGCTTACAACAGCTCTGAAAGAGACAGTCCAGACTGGGAGAGAATGTTCCCAGTGATCCCCATCAGGATCGCTTGGGCACACACGGGCAGGAAGGACAGATGTCAAGTAACTCCCTCACCCAACAAGGCACAATGCCCAACCAGTGCCAACATCAGGGAGCCACCAAGGGGACTGGGGAGAATGTTCAGCAAGGGGGGCAGCCCTGAGGGTGAAGGAACAGCCAGACGGGGCAAGGGGCCAGGGTCATGCCCTGCCCAGAGCGATTGGCTCAGCAGCTGCCAGAGGCCAAGAGCCAGGATAGACACCAACACAGACAGGGAAAGGGAGGCCCAAAGCGGGCGTGATCAGCCCAGGATCCCCCCAGCCTCCTGCCTCCCACCACTGAGTCCTCTGGAGGAGAAGCCCAGGGAGTGGGGCCCAAGTACCCCAGGGCTACCTGATCCAGTAGCTGAGAAAGCTGTTGGGCATTCATGAGTTGCTGCCGGCGCCGGACTAGTGCTCTCGAGAATTCTGACAACTGGGCCTGCAGGGAGATGAGGCGGGCCCCAGGAGCACCCAGCTGGCCCAGCTCAGTCACTTCCCAGCCAGCTAGAATCTCCTCACCACGATGGATATGCTCCTGGGAAGGGTGAAGGGCCATGGTCAAGCCCATCCCTAGACCTGGGACACCCTCTGTCCACTCCTCTGCCTCTTGTCCAGGCCCTGCTCCCCTGCTATTACCCCAGGGTCTGGGATGGCTTCTGGGCCTTAGTTTTCTCATCTGTGAAATGGGGGAGTGGACTGATAGGATTCCTAAGGTCTCCACCCTGTGAACCATTAACATAGACCTACCCACACTACTCTCCTGTCCCCTTCCCCCAACAAAGCCTGGGTGGGCCTCTGTCCACATGCACTCCATTCTGCCCCACAAAGAGGAACTTGTATCATACACTCCTCTGACCCAATCCCACCTGGGCAGCCTGGTCTAGCTTCCAGAAGGCATCCCGGGCCTGAAGCAGCATTTCCAGTGAAGGTTCCTCTGGCCCCTTCAGCCCTGGCCAGCCTACATTCTGCAGCCAGGCCTGAATCTGGAGAGGGGTGAGGGCAACAGGACCAGCAAAGGGTACTTTGATATGGGAGAGCAGTGTCCATGGGAAAGGGGATCGGGGAGGTGGGATGGGAGCCCAAGCCTGACATGGGCCCTCAGGCTCAGGTCACAGAGCCTTGGGATAAGGAGGGCAACTCTATGGGCAGTAATCCCCACTAGGAGAAGTGTTGTCTCTGAACCTGTCCTACAGGTGGTTCTGTGGGGTAGCTGGCCTGGCAGAAAAGAGGAAGAGAGTGACATGGGCAGGGGGCAGTAGAAGGGAGAAGAAGGCACGCCCACCTCGGCCAGTATGCCTGCCTGTGCCTCTAGCATCTTCTCCAGCTCAAGTGCCCGTATCCGTCGGTTGCACAGAGTGACCAGCTGGTGCAGCAATCCATCTACCTGGGCGTACAGCTTCCCTGCCTCGTCCAGCCTGGCAAAGGAAACAATTGTTCCTCCTGAGCTGGGCACCATGGGGTGGGAAGCTCTGCCAACCCCTGACACCTCTCCATGATGCCCACCTGTGGTCAGGTCTCTGAATGCCACCTGGATCCTCCCTCTGGAGCTCTGCCAATGCTGTGCCACCCTCCTGTTGCAGCCAGGACAGCAGCGGGTACGCTAGCACTTGCTGCATCAGCTCCTGTGGGTCCTGTAGCAGCTGCCCAGCTCCCTGAGAATGGGCACAGGCACCAGGGCAATGAGCAGGGCAAGAAGTCAGAACTGGGGGGAGCTGTATGATGGGCACAGTGCCCACCCTCCAGGGGGAACCACCACACGCACTCACCCCAGGACCCTCTGGCTTAGGGACCGCTTCTATGCTCTTGATGGCCTCGCGGAGCAGGACGCAGGCCTCCAGGTAGCTCTGCTGCAAGGCTTCCAGCCGCTGAAGGACGGGGAGGGAGGTCATGCAGAGGCCACAGACCCAAGCAACAGAGCTCTTGGCCAGGGTTCCGGCACTGTCCCCGAGGATGCCTGGTATTCTTGGCAGCTGTCCCTAGAGCTCCACCCCAGGAACCCTAAGACTCCCCGGCAGCTGCCTTGTCATTAGAGGGATTCCCTCTCTTCCCTCTAGCCCCAGCCTCATCACTGACCTTTTGGAAACCCAGCCAAGCATCATGGTTGTAGGGGAGGCGGCCTCCCAGAGCTAGGGGCAGCTGGGAGTTCGGGATGAAGGAGAGAAGAGCCTGTCGGGAGGGCAGTGGCTCCAGCTGGGAAGGGGAAGGAGGAGGGATGTGGGCACCAGAGGAAGGGGGTCCTGGACACTTGGGATTGGATAGGAGCTTGGGGGGCTAATCCAACCCAGCACAGGGAAAGGGATGCCAGGGAAGGGAATGGCCTGGATGGGGGAGTGTGACCCGCTGGATGGGGGAAGAGGAGGTTGGCAGGGGGCAGGGCCACAACAGGGGGGATCAGCTTTGGGCAGGCAGAGTGGCCAGGGGAAGCCCAGCCTGGGTACCTTCAGTCCCAGAGGTGGAGCCCCTGACATTTTCCCCAGCAGGAGGACCTGGTGCACGGAGCCCGGGACAATCTTCTGAAACAACCATGCCCACAGACCTCAGTCCTAGAGAGCCCTCCAGAGCCCTCCAGAGCCCTCAGACCCTCACCCCAACCCTTGGAGCCCTCCCTCATCGGCCCCAAGACTGTTGAACCTTCCCAAAGCCAAGGCTGGAGCCCTGCCTCCCGTTCCCCCACACCGGATAAAGGGGATTGGGATGCCAGCCCAGGTCAGGGTCCAGGCCAGGCCCAGGCTCACCTGCATCTGGCCAAGTCCCAGGAAGAGGTTGGGACTGGGCAGGCAGTGTCGGGCATCCACCAACACTGTCAGTCCACGGGCCTGATCCTCAGGTCTGCCAAAGGTTGGAACAGAGTAGGGGTGACTCTCGGGGCCCTGGGCACACCCACTTCCCAGGATCCAGCCCAAGCCCTGCTCCTCCCCACCCGAAAGCAGGCCCTGCTCCCACCTGGGAATGCTATGCAGGTAAAGGAAGAGGCCAGCAAGCTCCTGGACGCCACAGTGAGGACCGAGCCAGGCCAGATTCTGGGTACAGACCAACAGTACCACTCGGCCCTCAGAGTCCCTGGTCCCTGCAGGAAGGCAGAGCTTCACCATCCAGGCCACTTGCCCTCCTACCTATCCCCTCCTCCACAAGCCTCTTCAGCCCTGCCCTTCCCCATAGCCCCTGCCCCCTAGCTGGTGGACTCTTCCTCCTCTCCCCACTTTGTTCCCAGACTCTGCCCCCCTCCCCATGGACCCTTCCTCCCTTCCCCCTTTGCCCCATAGCCTCTGACTCCCTTACCAGGCAGGGCAGCTAAACCACTGTCCAGCAGCTCAAGGGACAAGTCCTGGGCAAGGGTGGGCCTCACAGGCACAGGCAGGGCAGGAGAAGGGCCCTTGGAGGCTAGACGCTGTTCAATCTCACCTGAGGAGAGGGGCTTCTCTGCTCCTTCCATTCCCAAGAGGTTTTCTGGCGAAAGAAACCTAAGCTGAGATCTGGGCCCACTCAGGGGGATTCCAAGAAGCTTCCCTGGAGATTGCTGGATGCTAATTTACAGCATTGGAGGATTCAGAATGAGAAGGTACCTTAGAAGTCAGCTAGTCTAACTCCATCCTTTTTTAAGATGCTTAGGACGCTGGGACCCAGAGAGGTTGTGACTGGAACAAGGTCACACTGCTAGTCAGTGGGGGAGATGAGATTTAAACCCTCGGGGGCCTCATGACTCAATCGGTGCTCCTGCTGGGGCACTTATGGAAGCCTGCCTCCCCACCACATACCCAATGTGCCCATCAGATCCCTAACCAGTGCCCTCTGATGACAACAATGACATGCTCTCCCCACCCCCACTTACCTCCCCCAGGTGATTCTAGGCCTGGATCCTTCCCTGCATCCCTGGATTCTCTCCTTCCCTGGACATCCTCAGGATCAGAGGGAGTTGGGCTCCCAGGCCCTGCCCTCCGGGGTCCCTCTCGTCCTTGCTCAGGGCCACTGCCTCCTCCCTCATCCTGTGCTGGCCCAGAAGCCTGAGGGCTGTCATGGTCACGGAGCCCAGTCCCCTGCTCCGAGCTCTGACCTTCTAGTATTGGTGCAGGTGGCCCCAAGAGTGGCTGCTGGAGGTCAGTAGCTCCTGGGGGGCCACCTTGGCTTGTGGGAGGCACGGCCAGCTGCTCTCCTCTGGGGAGTGCCTCCAGGGGAGGGCCAGGGGGGCTAAGCGGCTCAGCCAGCTCCCCTGGAGTGGGTGCAGTGCCTTCCTCGACCAAAGCATCATCGTAACTGCACACAGCATACCTCCAGTCAGTGGCATGGGCTGGGGGGACCATGGTGTGGAGACCGCCCTCCCTCTGTGGCTCTTCTGTCTCTATTCTTTCTGAGCTGCTGCAGGAGGCTGGTGCTGGCTGAGGCCCTTGTGCTCCCGAGTCCTCTTCACACCCAGCCCGGCACTGACCAATGCCAGGCGGCTTTGGACTCTTGGGTGTGTCTCTGCCAGAATCACTAGGTGAGCCTGGCGATGGGGAGGGCCCTGAGGGGGCAGGGTCTGCAGGAGCTAGAGAAGTCATAATGGCGCTGGAGAGACCCTCAACCCCTGGCTCATCCAAGAAGCGAGGCCTCAGGACCTGCTCCCAGGGTACCCTCAGGACACGCCCCCCAGGTGCCACCAACAGGCAAGAGCGGAGAGCCCACGTGCCGGGCACCCGACTAGCGTTAAGGGTGTCCAGCCAGTGGGCAGTGAAGATGGCTGAGTAGCTGGCCTCCGGCAAGGGCAGCTGCTGGGCACTATGGCCTCCGGGTGCTAGGCAGGTGAGCACGAGGCGGGGCTGGCGCCTTAGGAAAGGCACCAGCTGTAGGTAGAAGTCCCCTGGCTCCAGCAGACGCCAGTCCAAGGAAGCCAGATGCACCACCACGTGCTCCCCTAGGCACAGGGGCCAACCTGCATGGGCAAAGAGGCGTCCTGGATACTGACCCTGAAATGGGGGGAAGAGGGTAGCACGTCAGCCATGAAAGCTGGAAGGGGCCTGGAGATTCGCTAGTCCACCTCTCATCTTACAGCTGACCCTCACATAGGTTGGCGTCTGCCCAACGCCACTCAGGACAGTAAAGCTGGAGGGACCTTTGGCCATCATAGAGTGTTCTAGCAGGAAGGGGCCTGGAGGTCATCCACTCTAACCCTTCACCTTACAGATGACCCCCAGGGAGGTCAGAGGCTGCCCAGGTCACTCGCGCTAGGGGAGGGAGCAGGAAGGGGCCTGGAGGTCATCCAATCTAAC